CTGTGGTCCCAGCTACTTGGGAGGCGGAGGCAGGAGACTCGCTTGAGCCCAGGAGTTGGAGGTTGCTGTGAGCTGTAATGCTACGGCACTCTACCCAGGGGGACAGCTTGAGGCTCTGTCTCAAAAAAAAAGAGATCATATGTGTTCAAGGGCCTTTCCCAGGGCTTGGCACTTAGTAGGTATTCTGGCTATAACCATCTAAGCTATAACCTATGGTGCTGTGCAGTTTTCAGTATGGTAAGGAGCAAAGAGAAGGCATCTCTAATAACAGACTCCTCTCTCTATCATAGAGAGACTCCTCTCTCTGCCTTTTCTCTACCCGATCTAGAAAGAAAGGGTAAGTTGAGGAGAATGAGCAGAGAGCAAATGAAGGGAATGTTTTCTTTTGTGAATTTGAATAGTAAATTTCTTTCTTTTTTTTTTTGAGACAGAGCCTCAAGCTATCCCCCTGGGTAGAGTGCCCTGGCTTCACAGCTCACAGCAACCTCCAATTTCTGGGCTCAAGCGAGTCTCCTGCCCCAGCCTCCCAAGTAGCTGGGACCACAGGCGCCCGCCAGGACGCCTGGCTATTTTTTGGTTGCAGCCATCATTGTTATTTGGTGGGTACAGGCTGGATTCGAACCCACCACCTTAGGTGTATGTGACTGGCGCCTTAGCCACTTGAGCCACAGGCGCCGAGCTGAATAGTAAATTTCTAATTTAAATTTTTCTATTTTAATTAGTATCTTCCATCTTCAAGAAGAGTGACTGAAACAATGAATAAATTTTAAAAATTATTAATAATAACCAAATAACAAGTAGAAAATAAAAATAATTAAACTCAAATGCTGAGCTTTTCTGTTTTTGTAAATTTGTAGTCTGTTTGAACTATTCAAACTTAAAAGCCATGGGGACTTGAGACGCACTGCCGGTAGTAGCGGGAGAAGTAAGAGTGGTGAGGGTGGAAGGGTGGTGGTCTCAGGGACAGGGTGTGGCACAGTAAGTAATGATGGTAAGTCAGAAGGAGATATCGGTATGGGTATAGGGAATCAGATATGGCTGGGAAGGGCAGTGAGGTGCTGGAGGGATAATCAGATGGACCTAACCAAGTGGATGCTGGGAATATCCTGCTAGCCTGGGGGAATTAGCCTGAACAGAAAAGACCAGCCCCGAGATACAGTTTTGAGGACCACCTGCATCTATGTGCCTGTTGAAAGAAACAAAAGTGAAGATCTCTTGGAAAGAAGAGGAAAAATAAGAATAGACTCTTGGAGGACTGCAGCATTCCAGAGTAAGCTGAGTGACGAAAATGGAAAATGTCCTATGGAGAAGTTTGTTATTAAGGGAGAAAAGATGGATTTGACCGAATGTGTAACAGGGTCAAGGGGAGGTATTTTTAGGATGGGAAGATTGAATATGTTTATGGATTGAGGGAGTGCAACTAATGAAAAGTGAGAGATTGGAAATACAAGAGAAAGTGTTTACTAGGTTAAAGGTGAATGGACATAGGCACCTAATGTTTTGCCCGGGGAAAGAATAGGATCCACAGTGGTTGTGGGGAAGAGGGCTGGACTCTCAGGGGTGGAAGGGAAGGTCTATGTCTGAGAGGGAAAGTAAGGGTGGAGATGGAGACATAAAGAGGATTTTCTGGTCAAGGGACTATTATTGAGAGTTACTCATAATAACTAAAAAAAAAAAAAAAACAGCAACAGCTATTGCCTATTGAGTATTTTCTATGTGCCCGTTTCAGCACTAAGTATTTTACACACTTTTCCTATATTATATCATTAATATTCCCAAAGATTTTATGATGGTAACAATTAATAGTCCCATTTTACAGATAAGGAAATTGAGGTTCACAGTGGTAAGCATGCTGCTAATTAATTTCAAAGGTGAAATAAGTTAAATCTCTCATATTACCAGAGCCTGTTTTTCAACACTTCATTATGTTAAGTAACAACACACAAGTGTGCATGCACACATGCCCCACCACCACCACCTACTCAGCCTTTGCAGAGTCAGGATCCAGATTTGGGCTTACTGTGGTTGATTTAATTTCTCAAAATGCATCACATCTTGGGTCCCAAGTCTACAAAGACTAATCTATAGCTCTGGGAAATGGCCTACTAATATGAATTTTCTTCCAGGTTATATTTTGATGTGACTCTGATACAAGAACTCGGATTCAATGCTCCACACTTTAAGAAGCCCAGAACCAGGGTTAACAGGGGCTTCTTTACTTAATATTTCTTAGCAGGGACTAGCTTTTGGCCTAGAAACATGGGTTTCTTATGGAGTTTGTTGATACTGAAAGGTTAGTCTTCTTACCTGTACAGTGACCTTGGGGTCAAAATGGGGAAGATAATGGATGAAGACTGTAGACCCTGCTGTCCATGGTTCAATCAGGGACCCGAAGAAAGACAGAATCCAACCTGGATCCGACAGGCACCAGATGACATCAGACGTCTTTAGGTTCAGTAATTTCCTGCTAACTCCAAAATGTAATAGCCTCAGCTGTATGATCATGGGAGAATGTGATGAAGGACTAAGGATTCTGGTTTTCAGCTGGGGACTCATCATTTTCACCTCAGTTTGTGTGGTTCATGTGGGGGCACCAGATTACCTTAACCCCAGGTCTCAAAGATGTATTGCCAAATCACATTACTGAGCACATGCGACTGAAAATGATTCATTCATACTGCCTTCCTTGAACTGATTTTCCACCAGAGTTTTCTGTGTCTCTGACACATAATCACTGTCCCTGAAACTGTCCATGCTCAGAATCTAGGAGCCAACCTTGACTATGCTCCATCTCTAATGTCTAACCAGCAAATTCAGTCTATAACTATCTCCTGAAATCTTACTGGTATTAAACTTCATGTCTCTGGCACCTGGCCCAGGCCATCATTGTCTTGTACATGGATGATTCGAAAACTCCTTAGGTCGTCTTCCTTAACTCTACTCGAACTTTCTCCAACCATTCCCCAACCTGAAGACATAGTGTCCTTTTCAAAATACAAATCTGATCAGGTCTCTCCCTCACTAAAGACCTTTTTTTCTAATATAAAGTCCAAACTATCAAGGCCTACAAGACCCTGTATGATCTGAGGCCTGCTCACTTCTCCAATTCTTCCTCTTGGTCTTTCACTCTATATACTGAACATGAGCTATTCTCTTTTTTCTAATTTTTTTATTAAGTCATTTGTACATAGATCATGAATACATTCATGCCATTGTGGGATTCAATGTGTTGATTATTTGTACAAATTGGAGTTCTTACATCCTACTAATTAACATAGCCTTCAGCTCATTTACCCAATTACAGTGTTAAGACATTTGTGTTCTACACCTGATAGATCCAACTTGTACTTGCAATATACTCCATAGATGTGGTCCCACCATTAACCCTCCCTCTATCGACCCACCCTCCTCCCTTTCCCTCCCTTTCCCTCTTTCATCCTGGGATATAGTTGTGATTCATCTTTCATATGAAAGTGTGAGTGATTATAAATTGGTTTCATAGTAGTACTGAGTACACTGGATATGTTTTTTTCCATTCCTGAGATACTTTACTAAGAAGAATATTTTCCAGCTCCAGCCATGTAAACATATAAGAGGTAAAATCTCCACTTTTTAAATGATGCATAGTATTCCATGGTATACATATACCATAATTTATTAATCCATTCATGGGTCCTTGGGCACTTGGGCTTCTTCCATGACTTGGCAATTGTGAATTGAGTTGCAATGAACAATCTGGTGCAAATATCTTTGTTGCCAAATGATTTTTGGTTTTTTGGATATACACCTAGAAGGGGAATTGCAGGATCAAATGGCAGGTCTACATTTAGATCTCTGAGTGTTCTCCAAACTTCCTTCCAAAAGGAACATACTAGCTTGAATTCCCACCAGCACTGCAGAAGTGTTCCCTTTTCTCCACATCCATACCAACATCTGGAATGTTGGAATTTTGTGATGTGAGCTACTCTTACTGGAGTTAGATGGTATCCCAAAGTGGTTTTGGTTTGCATTTCCCTGATGATTAAAGATGATAAGCATTTTTTCATGTGTCTGTAGACCATGTACCTGTCTTCTTCAGAGAAGCTTCTGTTCATGTCCCTTACCCACAGTGAAATGGGATCACTTGTTTTTTTTCTTATTAGTAAGTTTGAGTTCTCTGTGGATTCTGGTTATTAGACTTTTGTCAGAAATATAACCAGCAAAAATCCTCTCCCATTCTGAGGGCTATTTGCTTTACTTAGCGCAGAAGCTTTTTAATTTGATCAGATCCCAGTAATGTATTTTTTATGTTGCTTTAATTGCCGGGGGTAGGGGGTGGTCCTCCTCATAAAGTATTCTCCTAGGCCAATTTTTTCAAGTGTTTCCCCTGCACACTCTCCAAGAATTTTTATAGTTTCTTGTCTTAAGTTTAAGTCTTTTAACCAGTGAGAGTCAATTTTTGTTAGAGGAGAAAGGTGTGTGTCCAATTTCAGTCTTCTACAAGTCACCAGCCAATTCACCCAGCACGACTTGTTAAATAAGGAATCTTTCCCCCAATTTATATTTTTGATAGGCTTATCAAAGATCAAATGATGATAAGTGTCTGAGTTCACTTCTTGGTCTTCAATTCTGTTCCATACATCTACCTCTCTATTTTTGTGCCAGTACCATGCTGTTTTGATCATGATCAATTTATAGTATAGTCTGAAGTCTGGAAGTGTGATTCCTCCCAATTTGTATTCATTTCTGAGTAATGTCTTGGCTATTCAAGGTTTTTTCTGTTTCCATATAAAACAAAGTACTAATTTTTCCAGATCTTTAAAGTATGACAGAGGTGCTTTAATAAGTATTGCATTAAATCTGTAGATTGCTTTAGGTAGTATAGACATTTTAACAGTGTTGATTCTTCCCAGCCATAAGCATGGTATATTTTTCCATTTGTTAACATCTTCAGCTATTTTTTTCCTCAGAATTTCATAGTTCTCTTTATAGAGATCTTTCACATCCTTAGATACACTCCCAGATATTTCATCTTCTTTGGTACTATTGTAAAGGGAATAGAGTCCTTGATTGTTTTTTCTCCTTGATTATTGTTGGCGTATATATAGGCTACAGATTTGTGAGTGTTAATTTTTTATCCTGAGATGATGCTGTACTCCTTTATCACTTCTAGGAGTTTTGTAGTAAGTCCTTAGGTTTTCCAGATATACAATCATGTCATCTGTGAAGAGTGACAGTTTTATCTCCTCTGGTCCTATTTGGATTCCCTTGATTGCCTTCTCTTGCCTGATTGTGATGGCTAAGACTTCCATTACAATGTTAGAAAGCAGTGGAGACCCTGGGCATCCTTGCCTGGTTCCTGATCTGAGTGGAAATGATTTCAATTTTGTTCCATTCAAAATAATATTGGCTGTGGGTTTGCTGTAGATGGCCTCTATCAGTTTAAGAAATATTCCTTCTATACCTATTTTCTTAAGTGGTCTGATTAAGAAAGGATGCTGGATATTATCAAAAACTTTTTCTGCATCAATTGAGAGAATCATATGGTCTTTGTTTTTTTAATTTGTTTATGTGATGCATTCTATTTATGGATTTATGTATATTGAACCATCCTTGGGACCCTGGGATGAAACCCATCTGGTCATGATATATAATTTGTTTGATGTGTTGTTGGATTCTGCTTGCTAGGATCTTATTGAATATTTTTGCATCAATATTCATTAGAAATATTGGTCTATAATTTTCTTTTCTTATTGGATCTTTTCCTGGTTTGGGAATCAGG